CACTGGATTTTATTTTTCATAGCCTGATTGTCCATGTTACACTACACGGAAAATGATGATGTACAAAAGTAAATTATAAACTAGACGTACTTCCACAGTTCCCGAAAGTGTTCTGTTTCAAGAGAAAATAAAACTAAAACCAAAATTAAGAGTAACATATATTTTTATTTCTTGCTTTCCAAGTGGTGTACACGTACCCTACTCTTATTGGTGTACCTAAGCGGTAGGGACGTGCCACTGGGGTGGTATAGAGAGGGCGACAGACCCTAACTGAAAAGCTCTGCACCCCAGCACCTGAGAAATAGTTGTTGTTGTTTTTTTTTAATGTGACTCCAGCTGACACGAAAGTGTTAATTATTTTCTGCCCCAAGATTAAGTCTTCGCCACAATTATGCCCCCCTAAAAAAGTCCTAGAAACCCACCACCGGTAAGTGGTAAGACGTGTTTAGCCTCATACTCTAACAGTGCATAGCTTACATATCTCATAACCCTACGCTTAAAGCTACGACTCAAATAGTGAAAATGCAGGCGTATCTTATTTCTCATGAGTAACGAGAAACTAGCCCAGAGTGTTTTGTGAAATAAAATTGTGATGTTGCATAAGTCCGGGAAATATAAATTTTCTTTTGTTGTTACTTATTGTTTGTAGCCTACATGTTATCGACTGAAATTCCGTCTATCCTCGCTATTAAATTCTAAGAACTTAAAAATGAAAGTCAAGGAGAATCTATAAGGATATGCCTACCATATCTAGTGCCGACGAGGCCTTTCGCCCAATACCAAGTCTTATAAAATAGTAGAAAAACCCAAGTTTTTCTTATGCACGCTGTAAATTTATTCGTAACCCTTTTACTACAGAAAAAGCACATGGTACACATACCACAGGTGCGTTAGACTATAGATATGTCTGCTCTCTTTCTTAAAACGTTCCTTACTTCTTGGTTCAGTCTACGTTGATTAATTCAGCTTGTCAAATCATTTCTTTAAAGTGAAGCGTGTTTCTTAATCCATTTCTCCATTAACTTCGTTAAATAAATCAAAATTTCTCTGTCAGTTCTCCCTTTTGACATTTGATTTTGTAATTATTAATACTTCAACAATATGTACAGCTTACTTTACATTGTTAGGATAATTTTAATTAGCCCCCCCCCCCCAGTGGCACAGCGGTATGTCTGCGGACTTACAACGCTAAAATCCGAGTTTCGATACCCGTGTTGGGCAGAGCACAGATAGCCCATTGTGTAGCTTTGTGCTTAATTACAAACAAACAAACAATCGTAATTACGAAGCACCGTTCGGTATTATCTTGCGCTTTTTTCTCTCCTCATAATAATATGTTTGTCGTGCATGCTACACGTGATACAAGTAACGTGCAGATAACTGGATTTGGGATGCGGTGACCTTATTCTTGAGTTAGTCATAATATGTCAAGGCCCATTCCACTTTCTGGTGTTCATGAACTCTCCCACGGTAGATGTCGCTTCGTAACTCTAGACTTGTACTAATGCGTTTTCTAGTGAACCACGGGCTTCGAATTGTTAGTCATACGTGAGAACAAACAGACACCCTCTTAACAATTATTTATTTCCATGTGGTTTGTTGAATCTGTTAACAGACACCCTTTGAACAATTATTTATTTCCATGTAGTTTGTTGAATCTGTTAACAGACACCCTTTGAACAATTATTTATTTCCATGTAGTTTGTTGAATCTGTTAGACACACCCTTTGAACAATTATTTATTTCCATGTAGTTTGTTGAATCTGTTAACAGACACTCTTTGAACAATTATTTATTTCCATGTAGTTTGTTGAATCTGTTAACAGACACACTTTGAACAATTATTTATTTCCATGTAGTTTGTTGAATCTGTTAACAGACACCCTTTGAACAATTATTTATTTACATGTGGTTTGTTGAATCTATTAACATAAACAACGAAATAATTGGGATAAAATTAACTTTCTAAAGTCAGCACTGACAGTATATAGTTCAAGAAAATAAAAGACTTGAAAATGTTGTTAACCTAATCCCACAACCATTTCATAATAAAGGAACATGCTCACATATTTTGTTATTCAGCACTAAGCAACACAACGGACTCTATGCGCTGTGCCCACCTCGGGTATCGAAACCCGATTTTTTTGCGTTATAAGCCCTCAATAGGTTTGTGAGTTAAAGTGTCCACATTCACAAACAAACGACACAACTTCTGCTAGTGCGCTGTATAAAACACGCGGAAATCATTTTACTGTGAATTCGTAATTTTTAAACAAAGCAAAATGTTTATAAATACATTCTTATTAGTTATTTTAACAATTTTCAAAATAATTTTCTTTTCTTGTCCTCTCGATGAGTATCCTGTAATATTTAACATCATTATTTTTAACATGCCCATTGACTATGTTACATTACACGGAAAACCATTCAAATAAAAACTGTTATGGATTTCACCACTGCTTGTTCATATATGTATTTGATGAAGGTAAAGCAAAATAGATACCCCTGTAAATACTACTTCCCGGCAACGATGTAAAGATATACGTACATATATGTATTTGATGAAGGTAAAGCAAAATAGATACCCCTGTAAATACTACTTCCCGGCAACGATGTAAAGATATACATATATGTATTTGAGGAAGGTAAAGCAAAATAGATACCCCTGTAAATACTACTTCCCGGCAACGATGTAAAGATATACATATATGTATTTGATGAAGGTAAAGTAAAATAGATACCCCTGTAAATAATACTTCCTGGCAACGATGTAAAGATATACATATATGTATTTGATGAAGGTAAAGCAAAATAGATACCCCTGTAAATACTACTTCCCGGCAGCGGTGTAAAGATATACGTACATATATGTATTTGATGAAGGTAAAGCAAAATAGATACCCCTGTAAATAATACTTCCCGGCAACGATGTAAAGATATACATATATGTATTTGATGAAGGTAAAGCAAAATAGATACCCCTGTAAATACTACTTCCCGGCAACGATGTAAAGATATACGGTAAAACATTTGTTGTTGTTGTTAAGCGCAAAACTACGCAATGGACTGTTTGTGTTTTGCCCACCACGGGTTTCAAAACTCGGTTTTTAGCATTATAAGCCTTCGGACTTACCGTTAAGCCACAGAAGGGGGCAAAAAATCTGTTAAAAATTCAAAGAACATTTCCTTTGGTGGAGAACAAAAAGAAAACTTATTTATTTTAAAAAATGTTGTACTATTATGTGAAGTGTTTAGAACTGCGTTAGCTCTTTGTTGTTTTTAGATGATTCCAAGTTCGAAACACACGCTTTGATTTCTATATTCAAATCAAATACCTAAACATGTTCGAAATTATATGTGGTATTAATATATTTAGTTTGAGTACTAATTACTAACATATTATACATACGGGATGTTCGAAAAGTCTGGAATATTAGGCACTTCAATTAATTTTACAGAACGTGTTCCACATGCTGTCTTTGTAATTCGAAACAAGTTTGAATTAACAGCAAGATTAATTAATTGGATTATTATTCTCGTTTTTATTATGTGTATTGTTATTTTCACTACGTTTCGACCAGTGAATTCTCCAGCCGTTGTTATGTGTTATATCAGATATTTTGTATGCATCACAACCAGAAAGATTTTTAGTGGAATTACCAGGATTCGAACCCCGAACCTTTTGAGATGTTTTGGAAGTTCCTATATTTTTTATCTTTAGTATTTTTGTCCCATTTTTTTCGTAATACTGGGAGCCATATCGGGCTCATGTCTACACTTGGCTTACTGATGGGATTAGTAATCAATGCTATGCGTATCTTGGCTTACTGATGGGATTAGTAATCAATGCTATGTGTACCTCGGCTTACTGATGGGATTAGTAATTAATGCTATGTGTACCTCGGCTTACTGATGGGATTAGTAATTAATGCTATGTGTACCTTGGCTTACTGATGGGATTAGTAATCAATGCTATGTGTACCTTGGCTTACTGATGGGATTAGTAATCAATGCTATGTGTACCTTGGCTTACTGAGGGATTAGTAATTAATGCTATGTGTACCTAGGCTTACTGATGGGATTAGCAATCAATGCTATGTGTACCTAGGCTTACTGATGGGATTAGTAATCAATGCTATGTGTACTACTTCCTTATTTTCCAATGCGGCTCAGTGTCGATGATAGTGACTTTGTCCCATGCTGGTCTGTGTTCTCCATCAGACCATGCATGTTCTGCTATGCCAGACTTGTCGATCTCGCCCTGGATGGTTGCCTTCCTATGGTCGATCTGTTTATCCTTTGTATGATCTACCACAACTGTATGGAATGTCATATATGCAGTTTGCTCCTTAGATGTGTGGTCTGACTTTGGTGAGTGTTCTTCGGAGTGTTGTATTACTTCTGAAGATGGTCCTGATGTTGTATCGTCCACAGATTCTCCATATCTTCTCTGATAGGCCTCTGGTGTATAGAAGTAACACAGTTGCTATTGGTTTCTCTTGGGGCTCTGTCTATTGTTTAGTATGTCCTCTGTGTTTCTGTTCTATGAAATCGTTCGGATATCCATTTTTCTGGAATGTCTCTGTTAACTGGTCCATTTCTTGTTTTCTTATTGTGCTGATGGCATTTGCCCGATACCTTTCTTAACAGTATCTGGATGGTGTGACTCGAAGTTGAGGAAGCGACCGATGGATGTTGTTTTATAGTACACAGATGTCTTGAAACCAGTTTCATCTCTTTTCATTTGGACGTATAAAAACGGTAGTATGGTGTTGTTTCACGTTCCGTTGTGAACTGGATTGATGGTCGAGGTCTGTTGATATGGTCCAGGAATGACGTTACGTCCTCTTGATGTTCCCGTAGGACGAAAGTGTCGTCAACGTATCGAAGCCACACTGCTGGTACGAGAGGTGCAGGTTCCAATGCTAGATCCTCGAAGTATTCCATATAGATGTTGGCAATCACAGATGACAATGGCGAGCCCATAGCCATCCCTTCCTTCTGTTGGTAATACAACCATCTAGCTGGAAGGCTGTGGTGGTTACACAGAACGTGAGCAACTCCATGATATTATCGATTGGGATGCACGTTCTTTCCAGTAAGAGTGTCATCCATTTCCAGTCTGTTCCTCACTACGGTTAAGGCCTCGAATGTTGGTACATTGGTGAACAGGTTCACAACGTCGAAGCTAACCATTTGTATACCAGGTGTTAGGGGCATGTCCATGATCAAGGAGAGGAAGTGGGTGGAGTTCCTCGCGTATGAGGATGACTTCCCACTTAGAGGACTGATTATCTTGACCAGGAATTTGCCCAATGGGTGACAAGCTGAGCCCCAGTAGCTGACAGCTGGTCTAAATGGTATGCCAATCTTGTGCATTTTTGGTAGACCGTACATGTGTGGTATTTACTGTAATGTTGATTCAATTGTCTATATTGTGTATCAGTCAAGTATCCTTTATCTTTGTTCAAGGATCTTGAAGATTCCTCGTTCGGTCGCAAATGTAGGATCTCTCTACAGTTTCTTGTATGTCCAATCACTCACTAGATTGTAAAGCTTATGAGTCTTCTCCTCCTTATTGGTGACAACGGTGGCATTTCCTTTGTCATCTGTAAGTATGATGACTGTGTCATCATTCTTGATAGCTGCTAGCTCTTCTTTGGAAAGATTCACCTTTGGTGGTTTCGCTTTCTCTAGTGCTTGTCTGATTTCCAGTATATCTCCTCCTTCTCCACACTGCTGTCTCTTCTGTGGGAGCTACTATGTCGAGGTGGTTTATTCGTTTGGTGGTGGTTGCGAAGTACAGCCTCTTCATACAATGTCAGTTGTCAGGTTTACCACCACCACCTTTATTGGTTGGTACGTTGGATTGAATCTCTCCAGTTTTGTATGTGGTTCTTCTTCAACCTTTGATCTATGACGGCGTTGAGTATGTGATCAAGATCTGTTGTTACCTGGGATCTGAGGGTTGACTCAAGTTTTGATGTTGATTTATCTAGTACTCTCTTACTCCGACGATGGAAGTCAATCCTTTCCCTTATTAGAGCACGACTTGACCTTTCCTCTATTAGTCTTGGTCTTAATCGGGACCTTCATTTTTAGTTCTGATAGCCAAGTGGTTTAATCAGTCCCTTATCTGGAATTAGGAAAAACAACAAATTATCTATGGTTCCAGACGTTTCGGACACCTGTTGATTAAGCTCCATATTATTTATGGATGAAATAAATAATATATATAGTCACGAAAAATATATAAACATACACACACACACACACAGAGCCACTGTTATTACATCGTTGTGAGCCATTATAGCACGAGAAGATAAATAACTTGTAATACATCAATGCCCCCAAAGTGGCACAGCGGAATGTCTGCGGGACTTACAATGATAGAAACCGGGTTTCGATACCCGTGGTGAGCAGAACATAGATAGTCCATTGTGTAGCTCTATGCTTAATTACAAACAAACAAATAATACTTAAATATATTTGAAAATTAAAAAAATACACGTTCAAATTTAACATGCATTTGTGTTTCTTATAAATGGAAGCCAGTTAATAAATAGTCGTTATGTCTTGCTACAATTCTTTATTTGTGTGAATTATGTAACATTCCATTGGACTGTATGGTACTGTCAGTGTAGAACCAGACAGGTACAGTAACAGTTGTAACAATTAAAACAAATTTGTACTTTGTAATACTCATAACGTTTCGCTCCTCTTTATAAAATATTGTTATCCAATGTATAACTACGTAACTTTTTGACATTGTTATAAATTGTATCAGTTTCTATTGTTGAGAGGGTTCTTTTGAATTGTTTGATATAAAATAATGCAAAGTATTGTTCACTTACAGATAATAAATAAGTTGTATTTCTTTCACTGTATCTTTTATGAGCTTAACTAACATTTTCAGATAGGCTAACCTCACAGTTGACGCAAATTTTCGTTTGCTACTCATCTCGCTCTACAAATCGTACAGTAAATCTCTTATTTATTCGTGGTAATACAAATTCAACATTCAGAAAAGGAGCTAATTGCTGATAGTGACAGACAAAACCTTGCACTGATTATTCGTTAACTAACCAACAAAAATCACTCGATAACTCTAACCTAACTCGTTCTTTTTAAATTCGGATCAAACTGCTTTAAACTTTGGGAGAAAAGTCCAGAAGTTAAGCCTCTCGCTTATCGCGAAACGTCAAACCACACCTGTCCAAATAACAGTACAAGCGACTAAATTATATAAAAAAAACAGCCTATAACAATATTATATGTTATATATAAAATTTTTATAATAATTATGTGATTATGTTTTTGGTTGATAGGTGTCGTTGTGTAAACACTTAACCTTCATGAACTTTTTCAATTGTCAGATGTATTTCTTGAAAAGGAATTACCCAAAAATGTTAGTCTATAAAAGTGAGCTTGTGAACATTGAAGGTGGAAGTTTCGGAGAGATTTTAGTGAAAACGTGGTTGTTTTCTTTTTAAATATAACTTGCTGTTTTGAGATTTGATTAGCTAGCTGTTATCAGCAACTTTGATACTAACTGTAATACGATAAACAGAGGCGAACTACAGTCGTGTGTCTTAGAAGAGCAGGCGCCGAGTGAACACATTTTACAGGAGTATACAAATAAACAACAACATCAACCCGTGATATTATGCTGTCTTTAGAGAGAGTTTTTGAAAGGTTTTACTGAGATACATTTTCCCTATCAAACATGTGAATATAGAAGAGCACCTGGAGAGGAAACTAACCAATAATTAGGCTTAGGTGATCGCGTAGGCCACTAGCCATGGCAACGATTGATATCCGATATCGTGAGCACTTCAGATGGAAGAGTAGCCCTTGACATCCAATATAATCCCATGACTAATAAAAGCTTTAGACTAGAATACATAACGTAACATTTCAAACAGAGAAACTGAAACGCTGTAAAAGAATGTCAATGGGCTTATTTCAAGGTATGGAGTAGCTATTCTGACGAGAAGGGAATTTTAAGGTTGTGTTGTTTGTCAGATTGTGTGAAATATAACAATCACTTGGTTTTTTACCAGTTAATTATGGGACTAAGAAAGGGATAATGGGCCTAAAAGAAAGGTATAGTGGGACTAAAAGCAAGGGATAGTGGGCCTAAGAAAGGGATAGTGGGACTAAAAGAAAGGTATAGTGGGACTAAAAGAAAGGGATAGTGGGCCTAAGAAAGGGATAGTGGGACTAAAAGAAAGGGATAGTGGGACTAAGAAAGGGATAGTAGGACTAAGAAAGGGATAGTGGGACTAAGAAAGGGATAGTGGGTCTAAGAAAGGGATAGTGGGTCTAAGAAAGGGATAGTGGGTCTAAGAAAGGGATAGTGGGACTAAGAAAGGGATAGTGGGCCTAAGAAAGGGATAGTGGGAGTAAAAGAAAGGGATAGTGGGACTAAGAAAGAGATTGTGGGACTAAAAGAAAGGGATAGTGGGACTAAAAGAAAGGGATAGTGGGCCTAAGAAAGGGATAGTGGGACTAAAAGAAAGGGATAGTGGGACTAAGAAAGGGATAGTGGGACTAAGAAAGAGATAGTGGGACTAAAAGAAAGGGATAGTGGGACTAAAAGAAAGGGATAGTAGGACTAAGAAAGGGATAGTGGGACTAAAGGAAAGGGATAGTGGGACTAAGAAAGGGATAGTGGGCCTAAGAAAGAGATAGTGGGACTAAAAGAAAGGGATAGTGGGACTAAAATAAAGGGATAGTGGGACTAAGAAAGGGATAGTGGGCGGTATAATATCAATACCTTCTATTGCTGTTGAACAGATACAAAAGCACAATACAAACCAAAGATGACATTCCGGCCTTTGATCCAGGATTAAATACAGAATGTATCATTGGACCTCATATATAGTTAAATAGGCATGTCGGAACGTGCAAAACTCTGGGGGGGGGGCAGTTGTAAATGAATACAAATTTCTGAAGATCAATGAAAATAAAAGTCCAGAGATACAGCTTTTCAGTGGATTGTTTATTTTTCTTGTTTGTTTAACTTTATTCCAACGTTTCGACCACTCGTGTGGCCATCATCAGGTAACTGTTGTCTATTGTGTGAAATACTGCGCGAGCATTTTGTTCCAACTTAGAAAACTTATAGGGTGGACTTCTTCTCCTCGCCATAAGAACCAATGAAAATGCTTTAAAATATTATTTAACATGTTCACATAATGTCAAGTACTCTATTGTAAGTACAAAATACAACATAAGCTGTTTGGTGTGAACTACACAATCGTAAGTAATACATGATCTGAAAATGTTTCGGTATGCATATTACACAGAAACACAAAAAGTCACTACCAGCGTAATGTTAATAATTTGTCAGCCGATTACACAGAAAAAAGACTAAATAAAAAATTGTTATCAGGAAAATATTGGGGGGCAATGATATTCGGACCCTAGTTTACTTACAGGGGGAACTTACCCCTCGATTCCAACATTTATGTTAACATAAGGATAAGTTTGTTTGTAATTAAGCACAAAGCTACACAATGGGCTATCTGTGCTCTGACCACCACGGGTATCGAAACCCGGATTCTAGCGATGTAAGTCCGCAGACATACCGCTGTGCCACTGGGGGGCTAAGGATAAGTAATCTGAGTACACATGCACACAACCAAAGGCAGTGATAGTGCTGACACGCATAGTTTTAAGGATGATAAAATAATTTAGTGACAGATTGCTTGATGAGAAAACAACTTTTTGGTTATCTATAAAACTGATGACATCTGATGGAGGTCCTTACGACAACACGTTTCGAACCATCAATCCTCCGATTCACAGTCCGGGCACATTAACCTTTAGGCTACGCCTAGCCTCTAAACAATTTGTTTTTCGTTAAGCACAAAGCTGCACAATGGGCTATCGGTATTCTCCCGTCGTAGGGATCGAACTCTGGATTTGAGATTTATATCCCCTCAAAGTTACTTTCGACCCACCGGGGATGTGGGGTATTTCTAAAC